ATAAAATGAAAATGCCACATAGTTTCAAATTCGGGTTAATTTCTAAGCATACCTTATTTGATAATATAATTTTAAAATAGGAAAATATAATTTTACATAATAAAGATATAACTAACACCTGATTTTTGAATAAAATTAGTTAAGACCTAATTAATGATAATGTAATCTTAAATCCATAGTTTCCTTTAATTTTTGGGAAGATTTCATAATTAAGAGGTTTAGTTTTATCAATTTCAAATTTAAGATATTATGTTTAAAATTTCAAATTTCAGAGTTTTTTTAAATTTAATTTAAAAATTAATTAAATATATATTTTATTAATTAATTATATTAAGGTCACAATTCCATTTAATTTGGTCACAAATTCTATATAATTGGTCACAAATCATAATTTTTATATATCACAAATTATTTTACGGTCACAATTCAAAAAATTTATCAGTCACAATTTGTTCATCAGTCACAAATCAAAAATTTATACGTCACAATTTATTCATCGATCACAAATCTATCAAATTAATAAGTCACATATTATTCATTGGTCACAAATCACAAATTTTAGATGTCACAAATTATTTTACGATCACAATTCAAAAATTTCATAGGTCACAATTTGTTCATCGGTCAAAAATCAAAAATTGAAACGTCATAAATTATTTTACGGTTACAATTCAAAAAATTTATATGTCACAATTTGTTAATCGGTCACAAATCAGAAATTTTATAAGTCACAAATTATTTTACGGTCACAAATTAGAAATTTTATAGGTCACAAATTATTTTACGGTCACAATTCAGAAATTTTATAAGTGACAATTTGTTCATCNCAAATTATCAATCACAAATTAAAAAATTTTTAGATCATAAATAATTTTTTGTTCACAATTTTTTTTTATTGGTCACATATTGTATATCGGTCACAAATTAATGAATTTAATGATTACAAACGACCAAATAATCTGTGACCACCACCAATATTTATGACACCACCTCACCACTACCTCAGCGGCACCATCGTCGCCGCAGAACCACCACCACCACCACCTCCCCACCAAAACATACCACAGATCTGCTTCGCTTGCAGATCCTACAGACCACCACCACCACACGGACAATCTGACCCCATCGTCACCGCACCCAACCACTGGTCAACACCACTACACAAGCACCACCGCACATAGCACCCCAACCACACAACCGCACCCAATCATCGAACACAGCACCACCGCACCGCACACCACCACCGCACCCAACACCGTACCACAGTACATCACCACCGTACCTAACCACCGCACCACACTTCATCGTAACCGCAAAACCATCGTCGCACCATCTGAACCTATCGTCATCAGAACTCCTCGGATCTATCCAGAGCCACCGCTGCTATGTCGTGTTTTGCTGGAGATGACGTTATCACTCTCAAAGCTTTGAACACGGGGATGACGCCGCTGAACTCAAATCAGAGATCCGTAACGTCACGCCCACACTACACCACCGCCACGCCCACACCGCACACCACCACCAACACCATTTACACAGCCATAAAACCTAACTCTCCATAAAATATCACAACATTTATCTTGGAAAAAGGAAAAGAAAAAAGCCAGACACCGTGGTTAATCTACACCACCGCTACCGTGTTATTCTTCCTTTTCACCCTCACACTCGTCCGATCCTCACTAAAACCACTGGAAAAAGATGGCGACACCACCTCTGAATCTCAATCCCTATCTCTCGACGATAAGAGCTTCGTTATTCGCCTCCCTATTTCGGAGATTCTCAACGCCGACGAAAACAACCACCCAATTGAACCTGATTCTTTGATCGTTCACTCTGTACTGTTGGATCTGGCCACTTCTAGATTCCATTCGATCAACCGCTGGTTCTATTTGAGGACGAAGTATCCCGTCCACAACTGCCGCCGCCACTACCATCTCAACCGTGACGACTTCTTCAAAATGAATTCCATGGAAAGGAAGGAACGCATAGAAAGGGAGAGAAGGAAGGAAGATATGGGTGATGATTTGGGATTTTAGGGTTTGAGTAGTATTAAAGATTTGAATTAATATCTGATTTTTGTATAAATAAAGTTTATATCTGATTTTTGAAATTAAATTTTTAAAATTCTGGTTTTATGTAATTTTCACTTAATTTTTTCTTGATTTTAGATCAAATCGATCATGTTATGTTGCATTTAAATTGGATAAAAATCGACCCGACCCCATTCAATCCACGCCTAGCCCAAATCAAACATTTCAAATCTCTACCAAATATATCCCAATCTTTCATTTATTGCACCCGTGGTCCCAAATCTTTTAAATGCGTATGCCCACAAATGGGCAATTTCAGTCCATAAGTTCATCAGTTTACCCAAAAAAATGATTTTGATCCATATTATTAACTTCAATAAGTGTTAAATGATAACTTTACAAAATAATTAAATAAAAAACTCAAAAAAAGTAAGACTATATTTTTCTATTATGTTTTAATAGTAGACTCTGGTAAGGATTAAAATCTAAGTTTTAATTTAAGTCAAAGTCAATCATTAATTTTAACCACATATTTTATAGAACTCGCTTTTTTTTTTCATCAAAATATATTTAAAAAATTATTTTAATTCCCATCAAATAGGGTCACTTTTTGTAACATGGGCTTTTTTATGGTCTATTTTTTAACAATTCGAAGTCATAATGAGCATTCGAAAATTCGCAAGTGCACGGGATCATGATCAAGTAATATAATGATGAATAGAGTATCTAACCCACGATGACCATGTTTTAACCGAGTTAAAATTAATTGTAACTTTAATCGAATAGCAGACACGTTGTTCTGATTTTTCTATACTAATCCCTAAATTATCAATTAAAGTAAGTAAATTTATTTTTTCAAATATGTGAGATGCATCGCTAAGATGTCGAATCTCCCTTATTATAATTCAATTTTTAGTTTAACAATTAAAATGACAATTTAAAATAATTCATATTGGTCAATGTTTCTAATTTAATTGAAAGTCTCTCTTGATGGTGATCAAATATATTCCTTTCATGTGACCATTTTATCTCTCGATGTAAGATGTAAACATGATAAAAGCATTAAAAAGTGGTATAACACCTATTGAAACCATATAAAACATATATGTATATTTCTATTATCTATCGAACTTTACAATATTTATTATATCATGCTTAAACTATATTATCTCTCTCGATAATAATAAAATCCACTAACAATTCAATGGTGATCAATCAATTGAAAAAAATGATAAAAACTATAATAAACATCCAATAATCAAACCAAATTAAAGTCAAAATAATTAATTAAAAATATCATAACGATGATTCATCTCATCCTACTAATGTATAAAACTAGTCTAGCATATTGGAATTACAAGAAATCATATTAAATGTATAGAATATCACCCGGAATTGTGAATTAACGAATGAAGAAAGATGAATCTGGACGTTCTTGAATTTTTTTCAAAGTAATTTTGATAAGTTTTCAATAATTCTTTCGTTTCTTTGCCCACAAATACCAGGTTTAATCTCCAGTTGATGAGTTTTTGAACTTCGCATTTGAAATTTTTTCATAATATATCATTTTGCCCCTCTTTTATGAGTATGAGATGTATATGAGAGATATCTCTAATTCATTTTGCTGTAAAGTATTTGTAGGAGTCGAAAATTGGTTGAAAATCACATCCAAATCGGTTTCCAAAAGAATTTCAATCGAATAAGAAAAATTGTCATTGCCCGAGCATGTTTTTGTCTCTGCACAGCATTCAGTATTTCGATCATAACTTTTTCTTCCGATATCGAATTGAGTCAATTCAAAGTGCGTTGGAAATCTAATTCATAGGGCTACAATTTTTCAGAATTATAATTTTTCAAATTCGTACATTTACCATGCCAAAATGGGTCTCAATCTTTAATCAAAAATCTAGAATATAACTTGTGCGATTGGAAATTGATTTGTCATAATATCTTGATCACATTTCATTCATTTTTGACTTCTAATTGCATCCAATTGTCTCCTAAAAATCTTCAAAATGTCTTCTTGTGGTCCGAATCAACTATTGAATATTAGTAATTTGGTTCTCAAACTTTGGACTTTGTCATTTTTCACCAACTTCGCTTTTTTTCTTTCAATTCCTCGTTCAACCATTGAGTTTTACTTATATAACATAAAATATAATAAATATCGCTATTTTAGGCCCCCAAATAAGTGTATAAAATACACTTATCGCATAACATAACACATGCGTTTCCATCTTCATTTATTCTACTTCATGTATGCCTCTATCAAAATTGACGTTCAACCTTCCCTTCAAAATGCTAGAAGAGTAATTTAAAATGAACTTTTGAGAGTTTTGAATTATTATAGTAACTTTGAATGTGTTGAATTAGTAAAAAAAAACTTATTTAAAATCATTGTATGGGATTTTATTTAACTAGTTATCGAATATACCATATAAAGTTTTATTTAAGGCCCACAAAATTTCAGAATCGATCTCGAGTACGACCCCATAAGATCAGATCGGGTAACTACATTGTACCAGAGCCAATTTATGTACAATGTCAATAATTAGAGATGCGAGCATATTAGTAGAACTTTGCGACAGCCTTATTAGAAGTAGACAAAAGTCACTTCGACGTACAAAAGTTAGTACTCCTAATGCATCGCTTCTGCTGGAAATTAACTTTCTATTGCTTTCTGTAAAGTTGTGGATCGTGCAATTTACTGCCCTTGCCCACAATACCGCTTCATATGTTGCATTAGCTTTCGATACTCCTATTTGGGGCGATTGTATCTCCTTTTTGTTTTGATCACCATTCGCAGTGATTTATCTATATGATATGCTGGTGCTGGTTTACACAAAAAAGGATATGCTGCCGCCGCGCCACATGGTTTTCCAGGCACTATCTCCCTTCTAGTTGGCTCCATTGATACTATTCATCCTCACCGCTCAATCTCGGCGGAACTTCAAGGTCGAGTGAGATGAGAAGATCATAATGGTTGAGTGCGATGACAAAATCTTAAGCTCTCCCACTCAAGAGAGGATCACTCGTTTGAAACCAACTTGACTAGGTCGAGCCAAATTAGTTGATCTTGAATTATACATGTCCAATCGAGTCCCTTTAGTAGCTCCATGAAAAGATACGGACTTAACTTCGTAATGTGTTGACACTTCAAGGTCTCCCTAACTCTCTACGTGAAAAGAAGACCAAAATTAAATTCTAAAATCTTGGGATTTTGAATTTTAGCTTTTCGAGCTGGTGCAATTTACTCTTCAAAGAATACTAAAGAAGACACAAGGGTATGAAGCATGTGGAATTCAATAAAGTTCAAAGAACCAAGAAATTGTAAAGAACGGAGCAAAGATGATTCTACGATCTTTGTGTGCTTACTATAATATTTGCCAGCGTATTAAACTTCTAGCTAATCTGGTACGTAGAAGTCCATGCGAAGTTAATTTTGTCTCTAGACTATTGAATGGAACCAAAATTATTTCATAGATTGAGTTACTTCTTCAAATGTGCTACTCTTGACTAAGGATTGCCTAAAATGTAAATACACCCACATCTTCACAAAATGTTGCATTGTTGCCTAACAGAATTCTATCTAAAGAGCATAAGCGCTAGAAACATGAATAGACTTTGCCAGCAGAGCCTATCCCCTCTTCGGATGTAGATGGATGGGAAGCAGCCTTAAAAGTAAAGGCAATAACCAACCTCATAGTAATTGAATAATATTTTTCGCTAGTAAATTTAATGCACAAGATTACTCTACTTCCTATTAGAAGGAGTTCTTGAAATTATACAGTGTTAGAAATTGGAGAGCATATATTTAGAAACTTACACACCCAAGTGAAAAGTGAAGGAAACTCATAAGAATTCTTATTATCACTTGAACTCCACTTCCATCAAATGGCTACAATACGTAGGGTATTT